CCTACACGACGCTCTTCCGATCTCCCCAAAACCCCAAAACCCCGTTATGAAAATAGCTGTGAGTTTCAGAGTGGTTAAGTTAAGAATTTGAAAATAAATGTAAAATTAAATAGCACTTTATTATTTCGATATGACTTACGTAATTATCTCTTTAATGTTCTTTCATAACTGTCTAATTTACTTAGATCATTAGCCCTTTCATTTCTTCTTGAACTTAAGTCCTTCTACTCCTCCATTATTTCCTTGATAAGTAAACTCATCAAAGTGATTTTTCTTTTTAGCATCAGGTGAAAGATTTGAAACAGCCGGTGTATCTTTAGCAGTTTCATCGAGGAACATTTTATCAATATTCCGAGTATCTTCAGGTCCAGAGACAGTAGGTTTAAATGGTGGAGCTATTTATTTGTCATACAGCTTTTAAAAGTCAATCTTAGCAAAAAAAGGGTGTCTCTTGATTTGAAGAGCATCTTCTTCTCCGGACCCAAGTCTTTTACTCGGATCTCTCTCGAGTAATCCTGAAAGAAGACTTTTAGCCTCTACACTGAAATATGGTTTCATCTCGATACGTTTTTCAACAATGTCTGCCATCATTTACTTTCTGTTTTTCTGATAATGTGGAGGTCTACCAGAAAGCATCTCATATATCAATGCTCCCTAATAAAAATATTATTTTATTGTAAGTTTTTTACCAGACTCCACCAGTCTGATGCTTTATCATGTCCTTCTCCAGTAATGATTTCAGGCGCAAGATACTCAGGTGTTCCGCAAAATGAATAAGTTTTGCTCTTATCATTTTATTTGTCGAGTCCTTGCTTCGATAATCCGAAATCTGTGATTTTTAGATTTCCATCACTATCCAGAATGATATTTTCAGGTTTCAAATCTCTAAAATATGTTCAATTTATTTCAATAATCTTGCCTATAGATAATTCCATTAGAATGGAGGCATTCTAGTGCTACGACAATTTCAGCAGAGTAAAAACAAGCTCTCTTTTCAGAAAACTTAACATCTCTCCTCAGATGCCAGAACAGTTCACCTCCGTTTAAAAAGTCCATGACGAAATACAGCTTGTCTTCTGTCTGGAATGCATAGTGCAAATCCACGATATATGGATTTTTTATCTTTTCCAAAATATCTCTTTCAGCTAATATATTAAAACTATCAGTTGTAATTTACCCTTTGTCTTTACCCTAAGGTTTCTTGATGCTACTTATTCTTTTTTCAAAACTTTCATTGCATAAACCATGTTGTTTTCCTTCAATTTAACCATAAATACTTTTCCAAAAGTGCCTCTTCCAATTACTTTTATGATCTTAAAATCATCTTTGGAGATTTTTGCGTTGGAATTGAGTAGATTTTCAGACTCTACAGTCATACTTCTCAATTCTGAATTCTCAGGCTATGATCCGTTACGCTCTGCAAGTATAATGATGATTAAAGCGAATTACTTTATGGAATAGAATCAGTAAGTGGCTTTCTGGCACAAGTGTTTCCCATTGTATATTATTATAATATTTTTAGATATAGCTATTTAATTTTATTATTTATTTTTGTCTTAGTAATAATGTGTCAATTGCTATCTCAAGGGGTTTTGGGGTTTTGGGGTTTTGGGG